TTGCTCTGTGACGGGAACTGACGGCTCAAGCTCAGCTAAAAAGCGATGCATCCGAGCTCGATACGCTATCCCTCCAGTTTCTTCCCCTTTCGCCCTATAGTACGCCCGCAATGCGTTTATGTTTATATTTTTTGTCCAACGCATGCGGCGTACTCCACCAGCGGCGGGTGCCGCTTGCCGAGTCCGAGAGGACCCCACCGACACCAAGCCGTCTAGTGGGGATGATGGACGCGAGGGGCTGCTAGGTGGTCGTGCAGTACCTCGCGCTCGGCTGGCGGCTCGCATTCTGTCACGTCCAGCGCCAGCTCCAGACGCGCCCCGGCGACCCCCAGGCAGCGGCCCTATGCGCGTTCTATTATTTTCCATCATCCATTAAATTGGGCGGCAATTAACGGGAGACGCCCAGACCCGGCGCCGTTTAATAGTGTGGCCGTAAGCACAAACGGGCCTTTGCACCCTCAATACTGCCGAGGCACGGCGCTCACACCTCTTGGCAAGGCACTGACTGACTGCGCTGACATAGCAGTTTTGTCACTTAACTGTTACGTCAGCGGGCGTAACAGTTAAGTGACAAAACTGCTATGTCAGCGGTTATTATTATTATTATTATTTTGGGGTATCTATAAAGTCCACCCCACATGTCGGGTATATTATTATTATTATGGGGTATTTGTATAGTTTTCTCATCTGGTTGGGCTGTATAAATATATAATTGTAAATGAAAATGATAAACTTACATAAATATCAATAAAATAAAATAAATACATAAAAATTACATAAATATATAAAAACCCAACCAGATGGAAGCCCTCGGCAGGCGAGACGGAACGGCCGAGGGTTAGGGGGAAAGGGAAAGAAACCGGCGGACGATGCGGGCGGTATCGAGGAGCACCGCCTTCTGCATTTGAGCTTGGAGCGATCCGCCACGGAGTCCCAGTCGCCTCAGATGACCCGAGAGGCTGACTGGGATTAAGGAAGATTAATTAAGATTTATTATTATTATTATTAATCGTGAGCTTTTCGTTAAAAAGGATTAAGGAAGATTATCGAGAGGAAACCTACATATATCAGCTGTTCAATATTGTATGTGAAGTTCAAAATCCGCACTGGGCTCGCGTGGAAAATACAGCCTTATCAATTTGAGAGAAGGCCTGTGCCCAGCAGTGAAGCATATGCTGGAGATAAAGTTCATAGTTTTAATTTTGCGTAGTAATAACATTAACAAATGTGTTATATCTTTATAGAAGGAGTTGTCACCACAACATCTGAGGCTACGGATAAAGAAATAGAAGATTATATTAAAATTTGGCTAAAGCATGCCCCTGAAAGATTTAAGAAGAGTAAAACATAAGTTTCTGCCGAAAATACATTTTTGTGACAAGCTTTTATAGCAGAATGTACTTTTCTGTGAACATCCATCAGCTCACTGAGATCAATTGCTCACTGAGACGATTCTAAAGACTCATCTCAATCGGAAGCCGGGGAGTGGATCAAATTTAAACTAAATAAAAGCTTGTAACAAAAATAAACATGGCAGAAAAAATAAAATACTCTAAAAAGGCTATAGTTGGCAAACTTCAACTATTAAGAAGAGCAAAGGAGGCAGAGTTAAGTGTAATTTCAAATTTGCAAGAGAGTACTACAGCTGCGTCCTCTTCCTTAATTAATTTGCCATGTACTTTATATAATAATCATCAATCTGAAATTGTATCACAAGTTTCTAGTAATAATTCCACTTTATTGATGAAACATGACACATCTCATGAAAATAACTTTACTACTTTTGATGACGACCATTCACTATCTGATTCAGATTCTGTTAAGTTTATAAAAGATGATGATTTCAAAACAGAGTTAAAACATTGGGCCATTCAATATCAAATACCACATAATGCTTTAAATAGTCTTCTCAAAATTATGACTCCTTTATGCCCTGGATTAAAAAGAGATAGCAGAACATTGTTGACAACCCCTTTACAACTAGAGATTACCAAGTTAGATACTGGAGAATTAGTATATTTAGGTCTTCTTTCACAAATTCAAAAACAAGTAAAACTATTTGGCGATTCTGATAATAATGTTGAGAATAGAGAAATTGAAGTTTCTTTTAACATTGATGGACTTCCCATATTCAAAAGTACCAATACACAATTGTGTCCCATATTAGGATTGCTAAAAAAAATCCTAATGCTAGACCATTTGTCGTCGCTCTTTTTTGCGGTCGAGCTAAACCTTCACTATTAGATGCTTTTCTAAAACAATTTGTCGACGAATTAGAAAAATTACTTACAAATGGTTTCGATCTTGAAAATATACATTACACTGTAAAAATCCATAGCTTTATTTGTGACGCTCCAGCACGAGCATTTATCAAGTGTACTAAACAACATGGTGGTTATTCAGCTTGCGACAAGTGTGTAGAGGCAGGCGAATACCGCGGCCGCGTGATCTACGAAAGTGTGTCAGCACCTACCAGGACCAATGAATCATTTCGTTCGCAGCTTGATGAAGACCACCATGTTGGAGAGTCACCACACCACTTTTACGTCTCCCTATAGATTTGGTATCTTTATTCCTTACTGAATATATGCATAATGTTTGTTTGGGGGTGATGCGGAAGCTGTTAAATGTGTGGATTAGTGGCGATTTAAATGTTCGCATACAAAGTCACTTCATTAAACTAATCTCTGAAAAACTAATCTATTGTTCAAAATTTATGCCAGTTGAATTTAATAGAAAACCGCAGAGTTCAATAATGTTCACATGTTATGTCATATATGCAATGATGAACGCCTCTTTGGTACACTAGATGAATATTCAACATTCCCATTTGAAAATCATTTATGCTCAGTTTCTGAGGTACTTTTATCGGTAGTTTATCTATTCGTTAGCGCTATTGGTTCGATAACTTGTGAAAGTGCGTTTCAGAACATCGCAATGTAAGATAAACTCCGTTTAAGCTAAGTTTAATTTAACTGGCCAATATGTGCCGTTTATCGGTTCTATAACTTTATTTGACGTTTAATTTCAAGCACTAACTACCTCAGAAAGGTAATGGATTATCGGTTCTTTTTAATGTATAGTAGGTAGATCACAAATACACCAATAGGTACGAGTATATGGCTCGACGGAAACGGTTACGATTACGAAAATACACTATTGCTCAATTTGAAACCTAGTGTAGACTACAGGGTTGGTATTTAAATATTTGTAAAACATATACCTGCTTTGGGTAAAAACATAAGCGGATTAGATATTGTGCATATTGCGGATATTGTGAAGATAGAATGCCTTTGTTCTTGTTTTTAAGTAGATTGGGTCAGTTAAAAAACTAAAAACTATACCTAACTACATGTATATAATGTTAAGCAACTTTCTTTAGTTTTAACCTTTTCGACGTCGACGTCGCATATAATATTGGTCAGTAAGTACTTACAGTAAAAATTAGACCTAAACACGCACATTGAATTTCGCGTTACATTTCAGCCATTACTTTTGCATTTGACGTAGCGTTAAAAAGGTTAAATATATAAGCGCTTTTGGAAATTTTAAACATCTCTGAATTTCACTTTGGTCCCCCTCCTCTCTTACTAATGCTCATATTTAGAAAGAGCGGATGATCAATGTGAGCGAGAGAGGACGCGGTCAGCCGCCTTCACGTAGATTAAGGAAGTGTTGCCTCCACTTTTATCTACTAGGTTACGTCATGGTTGTATATATCTAAAAAAAACAATGTTATTTTAAGCCATGACTTCACTTTTCAAACAAAAAATAAAAACTACAAAAATTACCTAATTTATACTTGGTCTTATTAGCAATAGAAATAAGGTAAACAATCTTAAGCCGTCTTAAGATATAAAATATTAGTAACAGTAACTTATTTATTGAAGCGTTTTTCGATATAAAGACGGCTTAAGATTGTTTGCCTTATTTCTAATGCTAATTGAAATTTACTGCTTTTACGGTTGGATTTTTTTTAACGAGATTGTGTAAACATCCTAAAAGTCCATGGTCTTAAAATAACATGGTCCCTATATCATTTTTGGGCCTATTGTTTCCCACTGTCCTTTAATTATTCTTAAATATAGATTGTACTACTTACGGTGCCTTTTTTTATTTTCATCCTTAAAAAATCTAGAGTCTGTTCAGTCAGGATACGTAGAGATGCCTGCTATTGCAAACGCTACATGCTAAGCGCTAAATTCTATCCTACTCTTACTAGGCGTTTTTTCTAGGGTTACTGGCCAAGATCTTAGAATCGTAGACCTTAAATGCGCAGCTTAGACCTTAGTGCCATTTTTGTTGAGCCAACTCGCAGCGCGAGCAATCGTCAGTCGGTTTTTGGTCGCGCGTCAAAGAGGACGCACGCGGCCGGCTACGCTATATTTGGACGGCAAAATGAATAAACACGCGTGTTCTTCGAGTTTCAATAATGAAAATATTATCAGATTGATTCAACTTTATGAATTTCACCGAGTCTTGTGGGATAGCACACTAACTGATTATCGAAATAACGATTTACGCCAAGATGCATGGAAGGCAATTTCAAATGAACTGAAAATTCCAATAGGTGAATTAAAAAAAAAGATGACAACTTTATTAGCAACTAATAGAAAAGAAAGGAGCAAAATCAAAAAAGTTTAGTAACATGATCAGGTAAGTTTTTAAATTGTTTATTTACGCATTGTATTGTCGCATTGTTTATAATAGCCTATATATTTTATATCTTTTTTTTACAGGAGCTAATGATGTATATATATCGAAGTGGTTTGCATCTGAATATTTTACCTTTCTTAATGATAAGGACAAAACTCTGCCAACAACGGAGACTACTGTAAGTAATTACGATTAGTTATTAACGTTATTATATTTATACTGGTGTCTGAGAAAATGGACCAGCTGCTTTATGAGGCTTTTTCAATTTTATTATACATATTGTAGTCTACGTTAATCCGTGTAGGTAGTACACGTTCTATTTAATATATATGTTACATTAAAACTTAGTGATTATTTAGCCACTCAAGGGGGACATTATTAACAAAGTGTTCCGCCAGATGTAAACGTATATGAGTAGCAGTATTGGGCGATCTCCTAGGTACACTGTCTAAAGGAAAAAAAGAAGTTAATTGCTGTTGGTCTTGTCGCCATGCACCTGGAACAAGCTCTCCTCGCTGTTCAGAATCAAATGCATTGGCCTGTGCGTAAATATTTGATAGTCTGCTTTTTCGTAAAAAATTGTGTAAATAAACAGTTGCCAATACAATTTTTGTAGCTTTTTCCGGTTCCAAAAGCATTGGTTTTCGTAGTACTCGAAACACCGAACTCAGTATTCCAAATGCATTCTCAACTACCCTCCTTGCTCTTGATAGACGATAATTGAATATTCTTGCAATAGATCCTCTTTCTGGATTACCCGAAAAGGGTTTCATGGTATATTCACTGAGGGCAAATGCTTTATCACACAGAATTATATACGGTACCTTCACATTGTAAGGAGTTTGTAATATTTCAGGATTCGGTAAATTTAGGCTTTTGTTTTCAAGGTTCCTGTACAAGGAAGTGTTTTTAAAAACACCTCCATCTGATATGCGTTCTTGACATCCAACATTTACGTACATAAAATTGTAGTCAGCGTCAACTAATGCTAACAATACAATGCTAGAATATTGTTTATAATTGTAAAATTCCGTTCCACTATTTAATGGTGTTTGAAGGCAAACATGTTTGCCGTCCATTGCGCCTATTGCATGAGGGAAGTTCCACTTTTCTTCAAATTCTTTTGCAACGGCCATCCATTGATTTTCAGTCTCGGGTAGCTGTAACAAATTATTTCATCTAAGTTAACGTTTTTCTTATTTTATTTTTCAGATAACTACCAGCAACAACACACAGAATGTAAATGAATCTATATCAAATGATGAACAATTAGCCAGTAATTCTGCCTCAACCACACAACAAGTACCTAGTGTTTTGACTTCATCTACACAACAAGCACCCAGTAATGCATCATCATCCACACAACAAGCACCCAGTAATTCTTCATCGTCCATACAACAAACACCAAGGAATTCTGCCTCATCCACACAACAAGTACCTAGTGATTTGACTTCATCCACACAACAAGCACCCAGTAATGCATCATCATCCACACAACAAGCGCCCAGTAATTCTTCATCGTCCATACAACAAACACTAAGGAATTCTGCCTCATCCACACAACAACAGCACAACACATCATTCAGAACTAAAAGGCGCCGTAATAACGATGACACTGCCACATTAACAGAAGCAGTGGGATTACTCAAGCACAGTATACAATATTTATCCAAGGAAGAAGACTGTTACACTTCTTTTGGGACCCACATTACGTATGAATTAAAAAAATACGACTCGCGAACATTTACACTAGTAAAACATGCTATAAATAATATTATATTTCAAGCTGATATGGGCCAATTACCAGGTCAGTGTGGGTATTATACCGGTGCCTATTCAACGGATTTATCCAACTCTACCTCACGCCAAAGCTATTACAGCGACACGCAAATTCCAGCACAAACTGCACCTATATCAACACCGGAACCTCCAAGGGAAGCGGAGGATAATCAAAATGAAATTTCTGAAATATTACGTTACGTTCAAGAACAAGAAGAATAATTCAGAAATTCTTAATTATAATTTAATAAAACTTCTTTAAGTACTTAAATTATAATTTTCTAAAATTTTAATTAACATATTAAATGAGCAGATAAACATAAACGTTTTTATTCATTAACTCACCTTCACATGATCCTTGAGAGCCTTGATAATTGCATCACATACTTCAATAATAATAGTAGATATGGACTGTTTAGATATGCGAAACAGATATTGTAAACTTGTATATGAGTCCCAGGTGGCCAAAAACCTTAACGTCACGGATAGCCTTTCTCTGGCTGTGATAGCTTCTCGAAAATTAGTATTCATCTTTTTTATTTGAGGTTCAACCTTTTCAAGAATTATTTCAAAATCTTGCAAACTCATTCTCACAAAATTTTTGTCCCCACTTTCTTCATAATTTATATCTTCCATTAGCCTATTTCCACACTGTAATCTTTCACGATACAATTTTTTCATCCACCATCTAGGTTTCCGTTTGTTTCTCTTTTTTTTATTTAAAATGTGTTGAATAATAACTAACGCCGCAGCAGTGGTGGTGCACGCAACCGCTAAGTTTGTCGGAGTCATGGCGAATGACTGGGGCTCGCGGAGCGCTCTGGATCGATTGACCTTGTGTACAGGTTCGCGGCGGTCCGTACAAGAGCTATACGCGTATCCAATGTACGCGTGGACAGTGTTTCACAACTACGCGTAACACAGAAACGCGCTATCCGATGTTTGGCATCCCACTTCTGACACCAATTTGTTAGGAGGCCGATCCCGTTTGACTTTTTAAAAAAAACCACAAGGTAAACCTAAGGGTTTATTATAAAAAGTTTACACACACAATTAATATTAACCCTGACTTCCGAACTCTAATACGTATCGGAATCTTTGTCCGATCTACCCGGGGCTCTGAATCTAACTGACTGTAAAATGGAATAAAATTAATATGGAAAAGAACAATGCAATTACTGATTGACGTCATATATAGGAAAAGTACCGTGGGATTGAATAAATGCTTACTAAGATTTAACTGCGTTGTAAAAAGGGATATAACAGTACGCAGCTTTACGGGAGCGCGAACCTCGAAAAGAATTGGGAGCGGGATCCATTTTCAGGCCGTGGTCAATAGGGTGAGAAGAATTATCGGAGCCCATTTAGTGCCGATTTCACCAACAACGTCGTTGTCTAAGATTAACTAACCCGAGAATAAAGATATTCCCTACTTTTACTCTCAGATAACTTACTGTACATTTCACCATGCAAAACAACAGATTAGTTAGCCTCAGATTAAGTATTCTCTGGAATAACGGTTTTGCTTATCTGTGGAAGACTGTATTTGAATGAGCGAATGAATGATTGTATAAAGAAAACAAATTAAGTATGTCATTGCTTTCAATCTCGGCAAGGTACACAACAAACTTTTTACTTTAGATGGGTTATACGTCAGTTTGTAAAGCTAAGCTATGATGATTCATTTTCATCAACTGTTGTTAAACGTTGTATTTTATCTCGGTTTTTGGTTATTTTTTCAATTTTAATTAATAATGTCGGACAGAACACGCAGTCCTAACTGGCAAATGTCGGAAAAGATGTTGCTTGTGGATTTAGTGGCTGAACATTTTAGTTTAGTAGAAAATAAGCGTACCAATGCTGTTACTATGAAACAGAAAAATGCGGAGTGGGTGAAAATATCGGAAGAATATAATTGCCAAACCACACTTGGGTATAGAAGAAGAAGAAATATTTATTCAGCTCAAAAAATATACAGATACTGACTTAGTTACTGTTATGTTACATATTTATATGTCTCATATTTTATTATTTTATAATTTCAAACAGTATCACTGGGCTCCACACTAAGATTCCCTGTGTCGTGGAGACCAGTCTTCCCATTTGTAAAGAAGTTCATGATTAGTCGATATTATGTAATTCTATTTTTTATATAATTAGAATTCTTAAAAATATATTTTAATGATAATCATGATGATTTATATTTATCTATGCTAATATATTACACCGTGTAGTGGCGGTCAAGAATACCACTACCCCATATCCCCCCGTGGGTGTCGTAAAAGGCGACAAAGGGAAACAGGCAGGAGATGGGCAGCAGCATCTTCCTGATAATAGCCAAAATTACAATAAAAAAACTGCGGTTGCCAACCCGCTCGCCAAGCGTGGCAACTATGGCAAATACCCCCCTATGAATGTAACAAAGAGACGGCCCCCAGTCCCCGGCGGCCCCGCTATTCCTGGCTACGGTGGCGACCATGGTAACGGCGGGGCAGGGGGTGCTAAGAATCTCCGGTGGAGGTTCGGTTGCCACCTTAGACGACTCGACCTGGCAACGTACAACGCACGCACCCTGAGGACTGACGAGAAGATCGTGGAGCTGGAAGAAGAGATAGACAAGTTGCGCTGGCATATTATAGGATTATCCGAAGTCCGAAGAGAGGGGGAGGACACGGTAATCCTCGAATCCGGCAACTTGCTCTATCACCGGAAGGGCGACCATCTGTCCCAAGGAGGTGTCGGATTTATCGTCCACAAGTCTCTCGTTAACAACGTTGTAAAGATCGGGAGTGTGTCGACGAGGGTTGCGTACCTTATACTCAGAATCACCAAACGGTATTCGCTGAAGGTCATACAGGTTTACGCACCAACCTCGGCACACCCCGATGGGGAGGTGGAGGAAATGTATGAGGATATCTCTAGAGCCATGCATTCCTCCAAAACCCAATATACGGTGTTAATGGGAGACTTCAATGCAAAACTAGGCACAAGAGAAAACGGTGAGCTGAAAGTAGGGAAATTTGGAATAGGGCAACGGAACCCAAGGGGCCAGCAGCTAGCCGACTTCATGGAGAAAGAGGGACTCTTTATGATGAACTCTTTCTTCCAGAAGCGGCCCCACAGGAAGTGGACCTGGTCGAGCCCCGACGGTTCGACAAAAAATGAGATTGACTTCGAGTTACAAAACCGTTTTCAGTGCCTAGAAGACTGCAATGAAGTGGACGATATGAATGACAAGCTCGTGGAAACTGTCCATGCGGTCGGAGCTAAGTTCTGCAAGACCCGCCGCAGAAGAACACAAAAACTCTCCGATCACACTCTTAATCTCATGGCTGTTAGACGGGAGATGAAGCTACATTCTTCAACAGACTTGACAGCATACAGGCATCTGAACAGACAGATCTCCAAATGCATGCGGCGGGACTTACGCAACTTCAATACAGCTCGTATTGAAGAAGCGATCGAGCGGAACCAAGGCTCCAAAGTCTTTGCCAGAGATCTGTCTGCCAGAAAGAGCCACCTGTCAAAGCTGAAGACCGAATGTGGCAGCATCGTTTCCGGGACACCTGAGATTTTGAGTGAGATTGAGAGGTTCTATGGGCAGCTGTACACGTCATCGTTGGAGCCACACGCAAGTGTGAGTAACGATCCAAGAGCGAGTCTCATCCGACACTATTCCGAAGATATCCCGGACGTCAGTCTGAGCGAGATTAGAATGGCTCTCCAGCACCTTAAAAACGGTAAGGCCCCAGGCGAGGATGGAATTACAGTGGAGCTTCTGAAAGCGGGTGGAAGACCGGTACTTGAAGTCCTTCAGAAGCTCTTTAATTCCGTCCTCCATGGTGGCATTACACCGGAGGCGTGGAGCAGAAGTGCGGTGGTCTTGTTCTTCAAGAAAGGTGACAACGCTCTCTTGAAGAACTACAGACCGATTTCCCTTCTGAGCCGCGCCTACGTGCTGTTTTCGAGAGTCATTACGAATCGTCTCGCGCGCAGACTTGACGACTTCCAGCCTCCCGAATAAGCCGGTTTCCGAAAGGGCTTTAGCACCATAGACCACATACATACCCTTCGGCAAATTGTACAGAAGTCCGAAGAGTACAATTTGCCACTATGTCTGGCGTATGTGGACTATGAGAAAGCCTTTGATTCCGTCGAAATTTGGGCGGTGCTGCAGTCCCTTCAGCGGTGCCAAGTTGACTGTCGGTATATCGAGGTGTTGAAGTGCTTGTACAGTAGGGCTAACATGGCTATCCGAGTACAGAACCAGAGTACGAAACCTATCCAATTGCAGAGAGGTGTAAGACAGGGTGACGTCATATCCCCGAAACTCTTCACCGCTGCATTGGAAGACGTTTTCAAGCTTCTGGACTGGAAAGGATACGGTATCAACATCAATGGCGAGTACATCACTCACCTTCGATTTGCCGACGATATAGTCCTTATGGCAGAATCGCTGGAGGACCTAAGCACTAAGCTCAATGACCTCGATAGTGTATCCCAACGGATAGGTCTTAAGATGAACATGGACAAAACAAAGATCATGTTCAATGTCCATGTCACATCTAAGCCGGTAGTTGTTGGGAGCACTAAGCTCGAAGTTGTTGACGAGTATGTTTACCTGGGACAAATAGTCCGACTAGGTAAGTCCAACTTCGACCGAGAGGTCAATCGACGGATTCAACTCGGCTGGGCAGCGTTCGGGAAGCTACGACACATCTTCTCGTCAGACATACCTCCAAACCTGAAAACGAAATTGTACAACCAGTGCGTGTTGCCAGTGATGACTTATGGAACTGAGACGTGGTCCTTCACTGCTGGCCGTATGAGGAAGCTCAAGGTCGCTCAGCGAGCTATGGAGAGGGCTATGCTCGGAGTTTCTCTGCGTGATAAACTTAGGAATGAGGATATCCGCAGTAGAACCAGAGTAACCGACATAGCCCAACGGATTAGTAAGCTGAAGTGGCAGTGGGCCGGCCATATAGCTCGAAGAACCGACAACCGATGGGGAAGAAAGGTTCTCGAGTGGCAGCCTCGTACCGGTAGGCGAAGTGTAGGGCGTCCCCCCACGAGATGGAGTGACGACCTGGTAAGACATGCAGGAAGTCGATGGATGCATTAGAGTCCAAGGGGGAGGCATTGGCCGTTAGTTTGGACATTGCGAAGGCCTTCGATCGGGTTTGGCACAAAGCGCTTCTTTCGAAGCTCCCTTCCTATGAGCTTCCCGAGAAATTATGCAATTGGATCACCAGCTTTCTTGCAGATCGGAGCATCAAGGTCGTTGTAGACGGTGCATGCTCCGACTACAAGCCTATTAACGCTGGTGTTCCACAAGGCTGCGTGCTATCACCAACGCTGTTTCTTCTGCATATCAATGATATGTTGCAAGCTGGTAGCATTCATTGCTATGCAGATGACAGCACTGGTGATGCTCTATACACCGGCCGTGCCAATATTTCTCGGGAAAACGTCACCGAGTACCGGAACAAACTTGTGTCTGAAGTCGAGTCTTTGCTGGACAAAGTCTCGGATTGGGGGCGACTAAATCTAGTCCAGTTTAATCCTCAGAAGACACAAGTTTGCGCGTT